TTAAAAGACTCATAGTTCTGTTGATAAACAATTTAATAAAACCATTTAATAAATAAACTAATACATGTTAATAAGTTCCAACTTGATTAGTTGATAAGTTGGATGCAGATATGGAGTGCATCCATATGAAATCGCATTTTCCATGCAGCTTCAAAAGTGTCTACATGATCCCAGCCCAGTTTTATAGGTCCTCCAAACATAATGTTGAGATCGTCTCGATAAGGGAACGTCTTGACTCGCTTAAGGGAAAGAAAGTGGCACAGATGATGTGTAACATTACTGCAGAGCTGTTTTAATGGAAGTTATGGTTCGTTACGTTCTGTTTACGTAACTATAGCAACTGTATTGCCCGTCGCCGTATGTTGCCAGAAACTAAAGTGAATCGCTTCGAAAAAAAGGAAAGTTAAATTAAGTTAAATTACTGAAGAAGTTTCATGCAAGTGGTGGCGATTTTAAATGATGTCACTTACAGAGGAAGCGCCGTTGCCTGAGCGTGCAAGTCTGAGAGTGCAAGCCTGAAGATGCAAGTACAAATCTGCAGCCAGACTCTATTGATCGCTATTGTAATTGTAAAAACATTACACTCTATTATTTGAGAGCCTTCTTTAACAGCACTGACTTGCCATTGTGTTCACATGCTCATAAAAAAATGAATGTGATTTGCAATGAAGGTCATCAGTTCACCAAATTCACGTCTGTTTGCTAGGGCAATTTGAGAAGAATATCTAATTGCATTTTTTTAGACAGATATTGCGATTTAATATGCAATTTAATTATGTAAAACTTCAGCTCAATAATCTGTAAGCTGTAGCAACAATTCTGTGACCTGTTTTTGTTATGTTGGTGTAGGGAAAAGAACGAGGACTCAAGTACAGGGAAAATTACGGGTTTTGTTTATAATAAAAAGCAAAACAAACTACCCAGAAAGAGGAAAGCATTAACTAAACAAACAAACTTGACTGGGCAGGCTGGCTGGGATCAGGGTTGGAAGGACAAGACAACATACAACAACGAACTGGCACAGGGCAGTAGACATGGGGATAATATATGCAGAAATAGTTAACAAACAAACAAGTGAACTAATAATAGGTAAACAAGGAGGGTGGGACTAGACAATAGACAGGAGAGCCCATGACACAAACAAACAACACAAGCCATGTGCTCACATAAAACGAGATTAGAGCACGCAGCCAATGAGAGAACTCATTACACTTCCATGAGACAAAGCACACAGCGCATGTAAACACAACACCAACAGAAGACTTAACACAAGACATTGGTGCATGTTTCATTCAAGCGCCAACGGAAACTGAAGCCAACTAGACGAGACGCTGGAAATGAAAACACCACGCTGCAGACAGAATAAACGCAAACACCAGGACTAGAGCAAGCGTTGCAAACACGCAAAGATCTTGCGCACCTGTATCAAGCAGAAACGTGCAAGGCCCAAGACGGCACACATAAAAAAGACAGACAATGACAAAATGAGTACTCGACTCGAGAAATCTTGAACCTAGCACAATAAAACAAGAATTAACAAGACCGGAGTGGCAGAATCCTGACAGTTTTTGTTTGGTGTTTGTAATTTTGAAACCAAAATATTCCCATATATCTGATGTCCTGTTTTACTTTGATATTAATCTTTGATATCTAGTTATGCTTCCGAAGCAGCAGACGCAATTATCCCAATTGTCATCAGTGCTTTCCTGTTATTTTTATTTATTATTATTTTTTTTTTAATTGTGGGTTTTCTGCACAGTTCATTTGTGCAATTCTGATTGGGCAGAATGAAAGTGTGCTCACTCAGTTGGCTAGTAAGACTATGACACAAAGACGGCAGTCATGCAATTGCTCTGGCTGGAGAAAATTAAATAATACATACATATATATATATATATATATATATATAAATTTTTAAATTTTCAGTTAAGGTCTTTTATATTTATTTTATTGCAATGCATTTTATGACTTCATTTGGGATTTAACTAATAACCACACATTCATTATTATGTTTTTTTTTTCCTTCAGCACACATTTTATTATTATTATTATTATTATTATTATTATTATTATTATTATTATTATTATTATTATTATTATTATTATTATTATTATTATTATTGTTGCTGCTAATGTTGAAAATGGTTGTTAATCAATCAACCAATCAATAAAGTTAATGACCACAGACTTTTAAACACCCATGCTTCTTTGAATATTTCTCAGAGAAATTAGTTTTGCATGTACAGTCAAGCTGTCTGAGGATCCAGCATAATGTCATTGTTGTTGTCTTTGTTATACAGAAATATAGAACAATCTATATTTTGTTGCATCTGTATTTCATCTTTTCAGTTAAGAATGCATTGATCATGCTTCTATAATGCATTTCTGCACTCCACCCTTACCCTCCTGTATATCTCGCTGCTGATATTTTGAAAGATTAAACTGACTGGCCTGCAATTTCATCAAGCAACTTCTGACAGCATGCAGCCCGATGCAGGCACTCTAATGTTTTAAACATCAGTATGGTATTGATAGGCCATGAGATATGAGCCCTATGGGGGTTCTTATGAGGTTGACTTGCTTCCAAATGCAGGATTTGTGAAGACTAAGAGATTAGAAGCTACTCCTGAACAATCAGTTCAGTGCCTGAATGTTGTTTTAAAAGCTTTTAGTGGAATCAGCATTTTGATTGGTCATTCATGGCTTCACAACGTTTTTTTTTTCCCCAAGGAGATGGATGAAATCAGAGTTTTTCCCCTTCCTCTTGTATTTGATTTAGATACTTGCAAATCCATCATATGGAAATATCATAATGATTTCAAATCGAAGTAATTAAAGTCATTTTATACAGTTCATGTATGTTTATATATATATATATATATATATATTATATATATTATATATATTTATATATATATATATATATATATATATATATATATATATATATATATATATATATATATATATATATATTTTTTTTTTTTTTTTTTTTTCATAATACACAGCTTTGCCATATTGGTTTAAGGTTGTAGTTTGACAAGATCTTTTTATATAAGATCTTGCGTGATCCAATGGTTCGATGCCAAGGCAATTCGAGTGCTGGTTCAGGGTGCTTTTTACACCCTGACTTTTGTTTCGGAACCCAGTTGTCTCGTTTGCGCAGTTAGCGCGGTTCGTTTGGCATATGTGAAGCCATTGCTGATGGCTCTAGATGGTGGAATAGCAAAGCAGTTCTTTGGCAAGCACCTAGCACCTGGTTTGTGTTGGAGGAAAAGGGGCATAGAGCCATTGCGCTTTGGGCATCTCGCATTTAAGTCCTTGCTTGTAGACCTTTCCTAATCGCATGCACCCTTTCTCTCTTCAACTTTGCACTCTCTCATCATACTGTCATCATTAAAAAACAATGCCCAAAATAATGCTAATAAAAAAAACATGACCATATCACACTACCATCTTGAAGAAAGTTTATTTTTGTCTTTCAGTTGAACACTACTTTGATTATAGTTGATGTGGATTATAGGTATTATTTATGCTATTCATATTTTATTTGCAGTTTACATACAGTGTGTATAACTGTACAGTATATGTTAAAAGTTAAAAATTCAAAAAGTTTAATCTTATTAAATATGCACCTATATTTTGTCTTATTTTTTAGTTATAGAAGACAATTATTCAAGATAGATGTCATCCAAAAATAAAAATATCGACCTGATATACCAGCTGATAAATTATGTATTATTTCTGGTTGTTGTTCCACTTCTTGATTGGTGCCTTACAGATGATGTGACATGCAGCAGACATGAGCTTTTAAAGAGTTTTTTTTTTATTATTATTATTTTTTTTTTATAGAAGCCAAAATGACATCAACGTGAAAAATAACAAAACGAGATCTTTTAAAAATGCATTTTAAAGGATTTTGTTATAGTTTTTTTTGTTTGTTTGTTTGTTTTATGGAGCTTATAAAGTTGTTCTTTTTTAAATTAGAAAAAATATCAATGCTCGATTTACAGTATGTTTATCCATATGCAAACCACATGATTATATTACTTACAATATATATATATATATTTATATATATATATATATATATATATATATTGTGGGCAAGGCAGTGGCACAGTTGGTAGTTCTCCCTGCCTGTTCCCTGCATGTTCTTCCTGCCTTCGCGTGGGTTTCCTCCGGGGGCTCCGGTTTCCCCCACAGTCCAAAGACATGTGGTACAAGTGAATTGGGTAAGCTAAATTGTCCGTAGTGTGTGTGTGAATGTGTGTGTGGATGTTTCCTAGAGATTGGTTACGGCTGGAAGGGCATCCGCTGCGTAAAAAAAACTTGCTGGATAAGTTGGCGGTTCATTCCGCTGTGGCGACCCCGGATTAATAAAGGGACTAAGCCGACAAGAAAATGAATGAATGATATATATATCATATACTTATACCATCATTCGTTTATATTGTAAGTAAACTGATATCCAATATCAAAGAGCATTGCTACCATAACCTTGACCTTTTCATATTCTCATCTATTAATTTGAGCTCGGATTTAACTCTAACTGATTGTATCGCATTGACTTTGTATTGCATCTCTCTCTCTCTCTCTCACTGTATCTCTTTCTCTCTTTCTGTATTTATGTTGACACAGAGCCAGGAGAGGTAATATAGTGTCCATGTTATCATTTATCCCTCAAGCTGCCCCGTGGTGACCCCAGCGAGTGATGCTTATACTTACATTTCTCTCTTTCTCCCTGTGACCATCTCTCGTTTCATCTTTCTCTTTGCTGTGTTCAATCTGTCATCTTTTTTCCCCCCTGTATGTCACTGCGAGTGTTACCTGAACTACCGTGTACAAAGATGCAAGCGCTTACACTGTGGGCCATTTTAAATTGCTGAGGTCTGTTTAAAGCCCATCTGTTTATCCAACCAATTGTGTGAGCTGGGAACACTTGTATACATCAGAAACACTTAAAATCATCTGCTAATTTATTTATGTCTGTGTTACAGGACCCTGCCATCCAAACCCTTGCCACAATGGAGGCATCTGTGAAATCAGCGAAACGTTCAGAGGCGACACATTCATTGGATATGTCTGCAAGTGTCCATCAGGATTCAATGGGATCCACTGCCAGCACAGTAAGTTCATTAAGTGCCTTGTACAGCGCTGCTTCTGAAAAGGATGGGCTGTTGGATGACATGACTACAGATATGGCCACTGAGAATGCACGTTTTGTCATGTGCAGTGCTGCAGCAGTAAAGGCCGCCTTTTTTATTATGTAAAAAAAAAAATAAAAAACATTTTTGTGCTTTACACAATATCCATCAGGTGGCGCAAGAAACAACCGTTTTTTCATTGTTGGTCCAGTTTGAGCGAACACCCCCCAAATCAAACAACCTGCCCCGGGGTGCATTTCTGAAAACAACTGTTAGCCAACTAAGGTCCCAAGTTCCTTATTTGTAATAAATAAATAAGGGAAAAAAGCATAGCTACTGGTCAGTTTAAGATATAGGTTGTTTTCAATCACATGGTTCTGGTGATGCGCAAAATTCAGAAGGAAGGCAGGAATTAAAAAACTGAATGGGAGACATAGAGGAAAGTCCATTTTTTAAATTTTTTTTCGCGATTTATACCATATTTTAAAGGAGATATAAATAAAAAATAACCACTTATGTTGGGCATGATCCTTATATCATGAACAGGGCTGAGATTTCAACTAAAGTATATTTGCTTGTCACTGAGGCAGTATTTACTATATAAGCTATTATGTATACTTAAATACTAGTGTTTGCATACTGTAAAGTATTACTTGAATTAAGTGAAGTTTCACAAACTAATTTCGAGAGGAGCACGTGATATGATTGAGCACGACTGGCTTCTCATCTGTAATCAGTAATGATCCAATCAGAGTGATCCAAGCTTACTATAAATGGATCCTTTTCTCTCTACTGCTCTGTCTTCGTTTTGGTAAAATCCCCCCTTCCACCACATCTCCTCCTTTTGGTCCCTTTTCTAAGGGGGAGCTCTCGAAATTCACCTGATCTCGGATCCACTTGTATGCATAGACAGCATGCCAAACCTGCTATAAGTGCTAAGCATATCTAAGTGGGAACTCTTTAAACTGTCGTAGTAATGATATTGTTGCTGTGGTACAAAACAACTGTGATCATAAAATTATTCAATAGGCTTCAATTTTCTTCGCTATGATTATACACCATCACAATGCACCACAGTTTACACTAACGCTATTTATTACAGTTTATCAGTTTACTATACTACAGTATTCAGTAGCTTTCATTATCAATGAGTTGTACACATCATACACTTTACCATGATCCTACACTGGTTCACGGTTTGATTTGGTTATGATTATATATATATATATATATATATATATATATATATTATTATTATTATTTTTTATTTATTTATTTATTTTTTTGCTGCTTGTTCAAACTACTTCTGTAAAATTAGGTGAAACAATACAATTCATGATGGGTTTTTTTTTGGGACAGCTTAATTGTTTTACGTTCAATGTACTTAAATTTATATAAAAACAAACAAACAAACAATTAAGTCAAATTAATCAATTTGTGTTGGGACAACATGAAGAAATTGTGCTGAACCCAACATTTTTTTAAATGTATTTATTTATTTATTTTTTTTTTTGTTATCGATTCTGTTCAACTCAATATCTCAGTGTATTAATGATGCTTTCCATCATCAATTTTACTTCATAGCACAAGAATACAGTTTTCAATTCCTTCTTAGTAATCATATAATGCCCCCTAGGTTCTACTTTAGTGACAGTGAAAGACTGTCCCAGCAAACTCACAAGCAGTGTATTGTGCACTTTTGTCTGCACATTCACACTTATACATTACAGCCAATTTAGTTTATTAATTTCACCTATAGCGCATGTCTTTGGACTGTGGGGAAAACCGGAGCACCCGGAGTAAACCCACATGAACACGGGGAGAACTGGCAAACTCCACACAGAAATGCCAACTGGTCCAACCAGGACTCAAACCAGCAACTTTCTTGCTGTAAGGTGACACTGCTAACCACTGAGCCACTGTGCTGCCTCTCGTTTACAAACTATCATTTTTTATCAATGGACTATAAATATTGTTCTTGAAGGCTTGACAGGAATATAGCCTCATCAGAATCTTGTTCAGCTCTGCCTCTTTATAATCACCACCCCCACTCTCAGAATGTTGTATTCCATAATGATTTTCATTTTACTTTCCTTAACATAAAAAAGAGCAATACATAACTAACAAAAGTGCTAAATAAAGTAACTGACATTGTGGTAGAGGGGCAAGTTGGTCATGCTTATTCAGTGCAAAGGATTATCAATCATGATGGATCAGTGTTTATCATCAAGTAAAATAATGCAGATTTCAGAAACTTCACAGAATAGCTCAATAGTAGTAATAACACAACAGTCTCAATCTAAAGTTTACATTGGAGAGGAAGAACTGCTGTCACTCAGGAGGAACATTGAGCTCTGTGCGATTGCAGGAGTCGAACCCAAACAGTTACAACCCTAGTCACTTTTACTTTTACAGCATGTGAAAAAAAATGAATGTCGCCTGAAAGACATCAGCGGAATCTTAACTTTTGTGATGTTAATCTCAACAAAAGATGTTTAATATATGTCTGGTGAGCAGATAGTCTCACTATTCTCATTAAATTGCTTAAGCCCTGCTCACGATCTGCAATTTCAGCCACGATTTGATTTTCTGAGACAAATTTAATAAATCCTAAACGTAGGCAAAATTTTTTGATTGTGGGTTTTACATGTTTACCGGCAACCACTTAATGGATGTTGCAATCAAATTTTCCCTTCGATGAAGTTCTGCCACTTTCAGATGGTTTGAGACTGAGGGAGCTCAAATTGATTGTTGTGCAGTCTGACATTATGACAACTGAGGTCTTACAGTGGGACATGGGAGTCATGTTTGTGCAGTCTGACATGCTATAATCATTAAGGATTAATAGAAATTGTGCCGTGTGAGCCGAGCTTTAGAATTCTATAATTTGATTACTTGTCAAGACCTTATATTTTGTAAATTTAAAAAAGGGTAAACATAGACTAAATGTGTTCAAAATAAACTAAATATTTTAAAAAATCTCTCTTTTCTATGAGCATTCATAAATTGTATCTATTTTTAAGTATCGTATTAGGTGGTTGGCATTAAAATATTTGCTGTTTAATAATACCAATAATAATAGTGGCAAATGAGAAGGGTAAAACCATAGAAAAAAAAGCGGAAAAAGGTGCTTGTTTCAAATTAGCTTCTTTTTATTTGCCTTACCTGTATTAATTTAGTTAATTACATTATTTAGATATTTTAACACCCCCTTTAAAGTGTTTTTCAGTAAAGTATCACTATAAGCATTATGCTGTATATACAATGCAAGTCATTACGGTTGGAATGATGCTAGTTTAATAAATGTGTAGAATGTGAATTTCCACATTTTGTGGAATGTGACAATTTATTGCTTAAACCATGTGGCTATAGGATTTGTCATGACACATACATATCCCCGGCATCTTCTGCTTTTTATTTCCATAAAGTCATCGTGTAAACTAGGTGTTCTCAAACTTTTAAGCCCTGCGACCCGCAAAACAATAATGCCAGTGACTTGTGACCCCCTTATTTCTCTGAGGTGATTATAAATATGCAAACGTTGGACACACAACACGCCTATATATACACACAAGCATATTGACAACACAAAAAAGTGCAACAGTCTACCAACCATAGGGTATAATTTTTATAGTGGGTAATTAATTTGTTTAATTTAATATTAATCTCATCTAATGAGACTGGTGGGCACAATGTTTTCAGTCTATTTTTGGTATCATTTTGGAGACCAAAAATCGAACACAAACACACATCCATATGAAAAAAAAAAAAAAAAAAAAAAAAAGCTTTTATGGAAGGTTTTTTTTTGTATGTAAAAGTTGACAGTTTTTTTTTTTTTTTTATCGTCTGTAGGTTATGAATACAATATGGTAATTTTAATAGTTTAATATTTTTTTTTTTTACTTTTGAAAATCACCTAGCGCCCCTCTGTCATTGTCTCGCCACCCCCACTTTGGGAACCACTGATGTAAGCTATCATGCAAACGGTATGTGAAAATGGTGGTACATCCAAATGCAGTGAACACTTTAATCTCCCATCTTCTTCTCTGGCAGAAAATGAGTTGTAGATGGTGATAAAACAGATGATGTTATCATGTGAGAATGACAACTTGGGGAATGTAGTATGCAATGCTAATTTAATTCGCAAATGTTTTAACAGTTGTCAAACGCATCATCAAATGTAGCTTCACAGATAAAATGTGATTTTGAACGTAGTTATATTATTCTCTTTTAATCAGTATTGCATTGTGAATATCATATTAATCACTTTCACAAAGCAGGTTATTTATATGCACTCAAAGGAAATGCACACACATTGGTTTTGCTGTGATTACAGCAAACATAGACAGATGCTATTGCATTTATTTTCACTTGCTTTTCTTTTTCTATTTTCCTCCTCTGCTGAACATATGGTCAGAGGCAGTCTGATCTTTTGCCACTCCAGCAGAAAAGGCTGAAAATCAACATTTACTGTTGCATATTAAGTGTGTTTGCGTGTGTGGATATAAGCAGAAGGATAAACCAGAGCTGAAAAGGAACTTTAGTGTAACCTCCTAGTGTAACTTGTCCACTGGTGAAACTTGTAATGTTTCTGTCAGTGCAATTATTTCAATAATAATAGTTTAACTCATGAGTTCTTTCTATTGGTCAATTGTCACTTTTAAATTAATTTGCATATTGGAGATTTTGCAATCCATAATTGGATCTTCCTCCAACCTAGAACCACTAAAATATCTAATACAGGCTCATTCTAAAAACTTAGCCCTATGTACATTTCTGGAGATTGTAAATTATGTAGCCAGAAGTACGTATGGCTGCATTTCTTTTTTTAATAAATGCTATAGGGCGGTTATTTTTTTTTTTTAATTACAAAACAAAAAAAAAAAAATAACTTTGTGTATTTCTACCTTTAATTACAATAGCAGTCAAAATAATATCATGCATTTGAATGTTTGGTACTGTACTTTTTCTTGGACTTAAAA